GTAGGGTGTAGGGTGTAGGGTGTAGGGTGTAGGGTGTAGGGTGTAGGGTGTAGGGTGTGGGGTGTAGGGTGTAGGGTGTAGGGTGTAGGGTTTACCGTCGCGCCCGCGTCGCCGAGAGCGCAGCGCTGCAGGTGCAGTTGCTCCAACCCCACGCAGTGGCTCAGCGCCTTGGTGAACGTCTCAAACAGCTTCTGACTCTGCGCGCGGGCGGGGGGGGCGGGGGCAGCGTTCAAAAATTCAGAAATTCGGAAATACGGTAATGAAGCGGGAGTTAGGCCCGCATCGGGTCCCATGGGTAACGTCGTGAGGCGGTCCTTTCTACTGGAAAGCCCCAGCGGAAGTTTCAAAAATTGGTGTCCGCTACTTTGGAGCCATTTTCACCTCAAAAAGCAATTTCTACCCCATGGACATGACCAAAAATCGTCAAAAGGCAACAATAGTGTCGTGTCCAGAGAAATTGAGACTTCCTCTGTGGCCTTGCAGTAGTTCGTAAGACGTGATGAGGTACGCTAATGGGGCATGCACGATTGCGAGGCTACGCATCGCAGTGGCTCACCGAACGTCTCCAACAGCTTCTGGCTCTGCGCGGAGGCGGACCGCTCTTAGAAATTCAGACGTTGAGAAATGGCGTGGGATGGGAGGGATATAAGTGGCGTGGGATGGGAGGGATATATGAGTGAGGCAGTGGATAGGCCCGCTGCGGGATGGGTAACGTCGGTGTAGGGTGTGGGGTGAAGGGTGTGGGGTGTAGGGTGTAGGGTGTAGGGTGTAGGGTGTAGGGTGTATGGTGTAGGGTGTAGGGTGTAAGGTGTAGGGTGTGGGGTGTAGGGTGTAGAGTGTAGGGTGCAGGGTGCAGGGTGTAGGGTGTAGGGTGTAAGGTAAAGGGTGTAGGGTGTGGGGTGCAGGGTGTTGAGTGTAGGGTTCAGGGTGCAGGGTGTAGGGTGTAGGGTGAGGGGCAGAACCTCTTCGGTGAGGCACTCGAGATTGTTGTCCGACAAGTCCAGGATTCGCAGGAAGCTGAACTCCCGCAGCGCCAGCGAGAGGTTGTACAACCCCTGTTTTGGAGAGATGGTGAGGAGAGAGAGAGAGCGAGATAGAGAGAGAGAGAGAGAGAGAGAGAGAGAGAGACAGACAGACAGACAGACAGACATATAGACAGAAGGGATGCGCAGTCAGCTGAACTCCCGCAGCGCGAGAGAGGGGTTGTACACCCCCTGCTATGGGGGTCTAGCTCAGAGATAGCAGCAGAATGCAAAGTTCGTTTTCTGGGGGGGGGTATGATCAGGTGCATGGGAGAAAGGGCGCCGCAGAATGCCTTCGCAAGGGCGTAGCGGAAGGTGCAGGGTTTCAGGTTCGGGGTCCAGGGTTGAGGGTTAGGCCCGCACCTGAGTCGTGATCCTGTTCTTTTTGACACACGGAGCTCTTTGAAATGCGGGGTGTCCTTCATCCAGCGAGAGAGGCAGGGGGGGGCAGAACGAGACACGCCCCCCTCAACCACCCGCACAAAGTTGACCCCCTACCACCCACGCAAAGTTAGTGCCACCTCTCCCGGGCGGGGCTGGCCGCCTCACCCCTAACCGCTTACCCCTGAACCCTAAATCCTAACCCCCAACCCCGCCGCACCTGGGTGGTAAGCCTGTTCTTCGAGAGTCGGAGTTCCTCGAAATGCGGGGCGTCTTTCATCCCGCGGGATACACGGAGCGTCCGATTGTCTCTCAGGAGAGACACCGGGGACCTCCGAGACGCGTAACGTTGCCGCCACCACATAGCAAGCCATCGCAAGAGCCTTTGCCACCCCCCTGCGACCCCTGAGCAAGAGGGAATATATACACCAGGGAGTCTATAACCTCTTGCAGGGCAGGGTGCACCTGAGTGGTGAGCCTGTTCTTGGACAATCGGAGTTCCTCGAAATGCGGGGCATCTTTCATCCCGCGGGAGACGCGGAGACAACCGGTGTCTCGGAGGTCCGTGTCGGAGAGGTTCAGGCACGCCAGACAGGTGCTTTCCGATATCCACTCCGCGAGCGCGTCGCACCTGTGGATTTGACCAGACTGGTCAAAGGACATTCCAAACTGGCCAAACCTTGGAACCTGGGGGGAACAGGCGCACTGAGGCATGCCGTGTTCGTTACCGACAGGTGTTTGCGAGATTCGTTACCAACGGAAATTTCCTCGGTTCGTTACCGACGGATGCTTGCTCGATTCGTGACCAACCGATCCGCTGTCGAGGTACCTATGCTGGCTTAGAAAAAATGTCATGCTAGCTCAGAAACAAAGTCCAGGTCCGGAAATCGGGCCTGGGTTCTGGTGAAAGTATTTAAAGCACTTTAAGTTGTTCCCGGAACAACATTGCTCGAGCGCGGTTCGCCCCACGAACGTGGCCTGGATCGCCGGGCAGGATCGCGCTCTGCCTTACAACCCAATGCAAAAAAGTACGGACCCAAATGTCCGTTTCGTAAAAACGGAAGTGTTCAGCCCTGGATGCCTTGTTCGCAAGGTGCCTCGGTCCCTCCATGTTCCAAGGGGACGCGTACCCCCCGTAAGTGTGCCATGGTCAAGCCATGTCGAGACTGACCTAGCAAACTCCATTCTGGAGATAACACAAAACCAGGGCGTGTACGCGTACCCCCCGTAATCTCATCCGGACGAGTATTTTCCGAAAATACGATTTTAAAAGTATTCTCAACGAAAATTACCACACAATGTGCCTGTACTTTTAAAAATGGTCACGTCCGTGTAGTAACTTTCGTCGCAAATCGAATCGGAGTTCCCCGAAATCATATTTTCGGAAAATACTAGCCGCGATTAATAGGTGCCGCCTGCTGTGAGCGAGGATCGCGTGAGCGTGAAGAATGGGGTTGGAGGGTGCGCTCCCCCTTGCCTCGATTTTCTCAAGTAAGGGTGCACGCCCTGATTCCAGCGTCAATCTTAGTCCGGCGTGCCACCTTACTGTCTTGCACCTGGCCTCAATCTTCTAAGATGGGTGCCTCGATGTTGTTATGGGAAGTGTACCCCCCGGAATCGGTGCCGTCCCGACGTGAGCGAGGATCGCGTGAGCGTGAAGGATGTCAGCGACGTGTTGAAAATCACTACACACGTACTCCACTTGTGTAGTAATTTTCGTGCAAATTCTTGAAAGAAAAATGCTTGTTCCCGTATGAGCTGAGCTACAAAGGTGCCTCGTTCCCTCTATCTTCCAAGGGTGCCTCTATCTGCAGATGTTCGGAGGGGACGCGTACCCCCCGTAATCGGTGCCGCCGGACGTGAGTGAGCTCCGCGTGAGCGTGAAGGATGTCAGCGACGTGTTGTGCTCCAGCAGCTGCGCACGCGTGGAAGAGGTAAGCAAGAATCTAGCACTCAGCCAACAACTTATTTTGGTGTAGCGGTTAGCACAGGAGACTCTTGACTCTCAAGACGGCAGTTCGAATCTGTCACGGAAAAGAAGGTGAGCGAAGTGTTGTGCTCCAGCAATTGCTCGTTGCGGTTTCAGGGATGCGGTTTAGATTTAGGTTTATGTTTAGGTTTTCGGTTTTTGGGCTTCGGGTTTCAGTTTTCGGTTTTTCGGGGTTTCAGGTTTCGGGTTTCAGGTTTAGATGCGGCCGTGGCCTGCAAGACTATGAAGAGATGCCGGTTGGCGGTTTATGGTTTCGGGTTCGGGGTGTGCGCCTACGAGACCATGAGAAGGTCCTCGCACGTGTACACACAGCGGGCTACGAAGGGATATTCGGCCTGATTCTCACCACGAATCTGTGAGGATAGCCCTGGGAATAACCCTTTGGGGTGTGCACCTGCGAGACCATGACAAGGTCCTCGCGCGTGTACTCGGTCCCGTCGGAAAGGTCCAGCGACGGCGTCGTGTTGCGGATGTACCTGCGTGGGGGGGTGGGGTTCAGAGAGAGAGAGAGGGGGGGGGAGAGAGAGAGAGAGAGAGCGAGAGCGCGAGCGAGAGAGAGAGAGAG